TATCTGGCAACACTATACATAATTTGAATGGTCTTGACATAACTTACAAAACAACGCTATGCATGATTAGTTTGGATATTGCGTTCAACAGTTATAGACGTGTAAACATGGAGTTCACTAACGCCGAAATTCGCGCTATTTTAAAGTTTTTCTTCGTTAAAGGCAAAGCCGCTAGAGAAACGTTCCGTGAGATTAATGGTGTTTTGGGGGATGGTACTCTATCACTTCGAACCGCGGAGGAATGGTTTCGACGATTCAGAGCCGGTGAAAACGACACCATGGATAAGCCAGCCGGCGGGAGACCTGTGACGACAAATACCGATCAAATCATGGAATACATCGAGTTAGACCGGCATATGGCATCTCGTGACATCGCCCAGGAGATGGGAGTTAGTCACCAAACCATTTTGAACCATCTGCAGAAGGCTGGATACAAAAAAAAGTTTGATGTTTGGGTGCCGCATAATTTGACGCAAAAAAACCTTCTGGACCGAATCAACGCCTGCGATATGCTGCTGAAACGGAACGAACTCGTCCCATTCTTGAAGCGGATGGTGACTGGCGACGAAAAATGGATCACATACGACAATATCAAGCGAAAACGGTCATGGTCGAAGGCCGGTGAATCGTCCCAAACAGTGGCCAAGCCGGGATTGACGGCCAGGAAGGTTAAGGAAGTGATTACCACCTGTTCCTGTCCATGGCGAATGCCCTTGGTGGTGTGAAGTTGAACTCAAAAGAGGCCTGTGAAAAGTGGCTGTCCGAATTCTTCGCAAATAAGGAGGGGGGCTTCTACGAGGAAGGTATTATAATGTTGCCGTCTAGATGGAAAAAGATCATCGAACAAAACGGCGCATATTTTAACTAAATCCGATCACTGTAACACTTTTTATAAAGCATTGAATGAAGAGCAAAAAAGCGGACCGTAAATATGACTTGAACCGAAGAACATATTATCACGATTCAAAAAAAATATATATATATATTTATTTTGGAACATTTTGTTGCTCACGTACTTAATTTTTATATTGTACAAAACACTTTCATATTCACGCAAAATGCCGTTCAACACTATAAGCACTTATTTTCATCCAAAAATCCACGAACTTTATAAAAACTCGTGTTCAGTAAATAGATGATTCTGGCAACTAATTGCTACAAAAAACAAGGCACCATCATTAAACAAATCAAAGAGAGACGACTAGTCACAGAAAGTTCTTATAACCAAGGGAACCTTTTCTTAGTCAAATAGAGTACAAACTGAATTTTTGTCCGTTTTTTAAATTTCTGCTGCAATGTAATAAAGTAGTGCAAAGGTTAAACCACGCATTTGTGGACCAAAATGTATGCAGTTATAACTGTAACAAGCTTAGTTGCCACTTTTATTTAAATTATTTGCTATTTAAATTTATTAAAAATAAAAAATAGATTAATAAATCAAATTTTAAATATGTGCTTAAAATTTTAAGAACTTTTTAAAGTACAATTTCGAATATTCCGAATCCTGCGTCAGTTGAAGATAATCAGTTCAGCTATATTTTTTGTGTATGACATTGCGATTTAATTCCATTTGTTGGCGTATAATAATATTTTAAGTTACAGTAAAAAACGCAAAAAGCGCTCGTATGTCAAAACTTTCTGAGTAAGTATCAGCTAAATTTACATTACAGCTAAATGGCCGAGGTTCATGGCCAGATGAAGCAGTAGAATTCGGGTGTGCCATTTGACCGAATTACCTTGAATGTATATGGTCCATTTCCAACCAATAATGTTTATAGAAATATATATGTTTTGGTAGTCAATGACTATTTATAGTCATACAGAGGTATATCCAATTCCTAATCAAAAGGCTGCACCAGTAGCGGACGTATTCATCAACAAGTGGGTAACGAGATATGGTTTTCCAAAGGAATTGTTGTGATCAAGGATGGAATTTCGGATCAGCTCTCTTCAGGAGATGTGAATGAAAGTGAATATCCGGAAAACATGTACAACTGCATTACATAAATAGTCCGATGGTATGGTAGAGGGATTCAATTGAACATTTCGGGAAAGTGGTAGACAAATATCAAAAAAATTGGGACTTCCATATATCCTTGTTCCTGATGGCTTATCAGTACACAGCGAAATTCGTAGTTGCCAGAATGTTTGAGTGGTAAAGTTTTGGTAATGAACTACAATAGAATGCTGCCGTGTTAAGAATAAATGAGATATAATTAAGAAGTTGTAAACTCTGCTAAAAATTCAGATCGATATTTTAAAAACTGACGGACTAGTTTGCATATAGCAGACGTACAACTCAGCTCATCACACTGAGCATTTCCTCCTGGGTGTTACTAACATCGTTGCAAACTTAATATATCCTATTCAGGGAATAAGGAGAATATTTTTTTAACAAAACAAGGAGACTTTTACTTACTAAATTAAATTTTTCAAGTTTTTCAGCCCTGGTTTTCCAATTTCAGCCTTATGATTGAAACAAATACATAAGGATATCTTCAGTTTCATTCAAGAGATTATAGAGGCATACTAGAAAATTTCCTGACTAGTTTGTTGTTTCACTTGATTGATAATACCATATAACACACACTTGCCATGTTGCATCAAGTGGAGCGAAGCGAAATGGTGAACCAGATCATGGATATGCCCCAAAGTGATATTTGCATAATATAATATATACCATACATAAATATGTTGTACGTACCTTAACATGTATACATATACATGTACGAGTACATACTCACATGTTGTGTTTGGGCAGATTCGATTTTGAATAAGTACGAGTATACATACGTACTAATATAAATAGATCTTTGTATGTATACATATACGTGTGTGCAAGTATGAATATGCTTGGAATTATCGCTGTTCACAGTTGGGTATTTTTGAATTATGGAGCGGTAATAAATGTCACGAGAATCATTTAGGAGGAAACACGAGTGATGAGCATGACTTGCCAAATTTATTACTCCATTGAAGAAACAGAAACGTTTGGATGATAAACATTTTGATTTACGTTACCGCTAAGTCCATCAATCCGTAGCGAGGGTGATACGCCTATGCTTTTGATTGAGCGTTGTGAAACATAAAATCGAATGAAAAGATTCTCACATTATAAGCGAGCTACCACCTACTAGATCTAAATATGTATGCATTATATTGTTATGATGATTCTTCATTACTGTACTCTTTCCAAAAATAGTAAATAAAAATCTATAGTGTCATAGTGAAACACGTCTCTATAAGAAATGGTATTTAAGATGATGCGCTGTCATGAGTACCATATACGCTCCCTGATATCATACAAGTATTTACTAATAATAAGAGCTTATTTGTCTATGAAAAAATTTCGCGTGTGTTGTGTAAATTATAATTTTTCTTCGTGGAAAAATAGGACCTGTTTGGTTTTTCAAAGCCAGGCTGTTAGCATTGGTCACAAATGCGACTATGCCGATGAACTTGTGAAACTCAGACGGTTGCAAGGCGGGGCAAAGCGCTTGACAGAATGCACACGCATCAGTTGCCGGGCAAATTAATGTCTTCGTCGCGCTCTGCTTGGCGCACCGCTGCCGAAACAAATGTAAACAAAATTTTACTTCATTACTGCATATGCATACCTACTATATACATACACATGTACTATTGGGCGCTGTTGTTAAAAGCTGCGCTTGCATTGCTTGCGAATGTATTCATACTTTTGGCATAGAAATTTATTTCGCGTGTTTGAGAACAATTTCATAGATGTTGTGTTGGCATGTAGTTCCACTGTTTATCAGCAATTCATCAAGAAAGCGGCAAGAAAAATAAATGCAAAGGTTTGGAAATATATAAGGCATGCGCTTCTGAATAGTTGCTTGCAATATTTCAGAAGCGCATGCCATTATCTTTTCTGGTATAAAAAAGTTGCGATACGAGAAGAAAATTATTGTATAACCATTTATTTATATACAAAATTTTTTTTGATATTTTAATGGTTTGCAATAAGATCGGGTAGATTCCATTATATAATATAATAGCCTCTGTACGAAGCATTCTTTTTATTTTATAATAATTGGTCATGTAAGAGTTATATTTTAAGATTCCAATTACACAATGCATACAATCTCGATTTATTCCCTTACTGATCATCATCTATCACTATTTAATAACTTAATGTTTTCATTGTAAAAATCAACTTAGAATTAATGAAATACGAGTATATTATACTAATTTGAAATCTTCCCGATATATTTTAAATCAGTGCCTTTGATAATGGTAAAAGTGAAGTGAAGTGAAAGAAAAAGAAAGAAATTCATAGTGTTTTGAAACCTTTTTATTATATCAATTTCCGGCAAAACACCTATAGGTAAAAGTTATAAATATAGCAAAGTTGTAGGTAATAAGAAGATCTAAAACTTTTATATTTACACCTTCTTCCCATAACCTCAAAATTTATGTGATGTTTTTATCTAGTAGATCGAAAAAATTATAAAATTTTCCCTTCAAATTATCAGATTTTTTAGAAAGTACGCAACCGTTATATTTGATAAAATCTCTACTGTCTGGTGGTATAAAAAATATGTACATATATACTATGGCAAACTTTTTGAGGAAATGCAAAACAAGACCCCACTAAACAGCTTCTACTACGAAATAATAGGTAGATCAAATAAAAAAATAGCTTTGAATAGTATATTGGATAACGATTTTGAGATTTTTTCCTTCGTTTCTCACATTTTTATTTTAATATTTTGCGCGTAAAAATACACATTAAAGTTATCATGATTTTTAATAATAATATTCATATTTTTTGATTATTAATTATACGTGTATTATATAGTCACTTATTTAACTATTTCATTCGAAGTCGAAATATTTTATACATTTCAGAAAGTTAATTCTTCGTAGTCACTTTTCGTATGAAGTACAAAAATAGGAAGACATCGATGATATTCACCCAGACTGTGTGATATTCATATGCATTTTGGTTCAGTAATTAGAAAATTCTCTAATAAACTCACCTATAATAATCATTCTTGCAGTAAATGTTTCCATCTCGCGAATAACACGATGATTCTCGGTCTAACGGTTGTCGGCAAGCGTGACATTGTAAGCAATTTACATGCCATCGTTTATCAACTGCAGAGAGGTAGAAACGATCCTGTAAAGATATTCGATATTTAAAGATAGAAGATACATATATAATAACTTTTTTTCAAGCACAACACAGTGTATTCGCATTAATTCATATTCAATGTAAATTTGTATTTAATGTAATGTAATGTGATGCATTTGCATTACATAAAAAAGTTCTTTTATTATAACATAGGTATAATTGTATTAAATATTGTAATTTCAACGCTTTGATGTTATTTGCTGTATTAATCAAACTGTAGGTATATAATAACATACCATTTATGCATATACATTAGCGTATAACATACGTGTGTAGTGGTATCACCTGTATGAATCGACCGCAACCAGCGCAATCTTCTAGGCTTCGAGGCAGATTTGGTGTTTCATTCGTGGAGTCTGGACTACTTGGTGGACCATATGGCTCCGTTTTAAAGGATATTCTCGAGGTAGTTTCCTCATTCACTTCCAAACAGTTAGGCCGCGCTCGACTTATTGCGTATTTTAGTGCAGATTCGCTGAATAGTGTTCGGTCTGCGATTTCATAACTATCAGAAAAAAAATTAATTTATACGTATGTACATATCTACATACTTAAATGATGGCCCGCTAATAACTATTTATTTGCGAGTAATTACAAACCTTTTAAATGGCTCATTAAATGTCGAACTATAAGGCTTGGTATTGTGGTCACAAAGTTCGGGACAGGAAGAGCAAGATCTATAAAGAAGACGATTGTTATTTACACCTGCAGCACTGCCGCAATGAGTGCTCCCTTGATGTGCTACAGGTGGGGTTGGACTTTTTTCTCTCGCACCTGGCCCAAGAAATCTTGCGCTCTGCTGCTGCAATTTTAAAATACATATACTCAAACTATTACTATTTTAAGAAAATAATTAAAAGAATATTTCATAATTTTGTAATAATTTATAAAACATTATATCTGGAATAATAACAATATTAAATGAGACCCCAAGTTTACCGTCTTATTCTCTAATATCTGTATACATTCCCAATAAGGGTTGAACATTTTTTGGGTTAACTGTGTGATCATGCTAAGCAATAGTAGTGCTTAGAATACTACTACTTATAGTACTTAGAATACTATCAACTTTTGTGAAAAAACGGGTATAACTAAACATTTCAAACTCTCGCAATGTGCAAGGAGTAAAGCCAGGTAATTATTTTCAGGTAAAGGTGGGCAGGAACAAATTCCTACGAAACCCTTAAGTACCAACGGACACGTGTACCAATCTTTAACGCGATATCTCAATTTTTACTCATGTTATCACTTGCACGGACAGATGGACATAAAAGCTTTCCGTCGGCCAACTGATCATCTTCTAACCACGCGCTTGAAGCAAATTTCCAAAAACGTAAAAAGGTTATTCCAAGGGTTCAACGTGGTCACCATCCAACTGCTGTAATGGTTTGGTAGGGAGTCTCCTCGCCACTTCTGTGAAAAAGGGGTTAAAACTATGGCAAAAGTGTACCAGGGATGTTTTAGAAGGTGTGGTAGAGCAGTTAAGCAATACTTTCTTCGATGGAGAGCATTGCATCTTCCAGCTAGATTCAGCTCCAGTCTTCAACGGAAAAAAACCACCCGGCAGTGGCATAAAAGTAATATTTCTGGTTTCATAGCTGCAGGTGATTGGTCGTCTGAAAGTCCAGATTTGAATCCATTGTACTAGTTTATGGTGAGAATTGGGAAACATGGCCTCGACAGGAATTGCCACAGAAATTTGGGAAAAATGTGTGGTTCGGGCAGCATTGGCAGTATAAATAGAACTATGCATGATGCTATTGATTGAGGGCTTGTGTGAAAGCAAAAGGTGACCATTTCGAATAAAATTTTGTACTTCGCTCATTTAATATATGCATTATTAAATAAAATTAACTTTATTAAAACATGTGTTATAGCTTCATTTTTGTAACAGCCTGTCTGTTTTATAACTTATTGCAGGACTAAGTATCTCTATATCTATTTCGATTGATTTTAGAGGTAACAATCAATTATTAGGTGAACAATACGGTTATACTATGTGCAACATGTTACGAGCATATAATATGTAAGGAAGGGCTAAGTTCGGGTGCAATCGAACATTTTATTCTCTCGCAACTTGCAAAGATCAAAGCCGAGAAAATAAGTTCAGGCGTTGGCAAAAATTTACATAAAACAAGCAAACGCGTTAACTTCGGTTGCACCGAAGCTATAATACCCTTCACAGGTGCGTTTTTTATAGCAAAAATGAGTTTAAAGAGATTTTTATCATGATTTTGCATCTGTTTATATGGCAACTATATTATGTGTTATTGTGTTTTAATCTGAAAAATTTCTTCGAAAATTGCATTGTTGCCTTAGACAATAATCCAAGCCTAATTTCGTGAAGATATCTCGTCAAATGAAAAAGTTTTCGATGCAAGTAGTTGATTCCGATCGTTCAGTTTATATGTCAACTATATACTATAGTGGTCCGATATCGGCAGTTCCGACAAATGACCAATATTCGTGAGAAACGAACGTATGAAAAATTTCAGGTCGATATCTCAAAAACTGAGGGAATAGTTCGCAAATATACAGACGGACGGACATGGCTAAATCGACTTAGCTCGTCACGCTGATCAATTGTGTATATTCTTATACTTTGTACGGCTTCCAACTTTTCCTTTGGGTGTTTCGTGGCAAACTTAATATACCCTGTTAAGGGAATAGAAATATTGCGAAAGAATTAAACATTCATTGTTCAACGAAATCGTTAATGGAATACAATCAATTTTGGTATCTTATCAACTTATATTGAAGGTCATAGACTCCCTTAGTTTATTACTATATTTTACTTCACATCTTTAAATGAGAAATATATGATATAAACTCAAGCTGCGAGTAAATTTTGTAAAATTTCAAGTTGATGTGGAGAAATCAACCAGAGGATCGCAATTCATCATATTAGGCATATAAGGTTTAGACCATATTAGGCGCCAAACAACATCAATTTTTAAGAAAATTTGTTCATTTAATATTATATTATTAAAGTATACCATATTTTATCAGGTGGAAAGTTGAAAATTTTTATATAAGTTATATTGGGGGCAGATAAAGGGATGGGGTGTTTGTATTTATTTTGATGACATTGCTGAGGTATACTTGTGAACATATTTTCAAGCAATTTTATAAATATATTACTCAAACACTGAACGAAATGTTAGAAAAACGAAAATTAATATATGTATTATATAGGGGTTCAGATAATTCCTTTGCCAATTTCACATATTTTCGGCATTAAACTATAGTATATCCAATATTATACGTTCAATTAATTTTTTAAAGATATTTATGGGGTAAGGTCAACTGGAAATTGGAATATAGGAGTAGTATTCACACATTTTAACAGAGTAAAATGCTTCCTGAGCTTCATTAAGTTACCAAAAATCATCAACAATATATGCCGAGTAAGGTCAACCGGATGGCTGGGGCAAGTTTTCGCCCGATTTTACTCATACACAAATATGTACTCATATAAGACACAAAGATGTTAATATAAAAACCCACCCAGTTAACTTTATTAGGATAGCTAACAAGTTCGAAAATATTTCGATTAGGTATATGGGGCTAGGGGAAATATTGACCCGATTCAATCCATTTTTGAAATACAAGTATACTATTATCAGAAAGCGACTGTCTCCGAATTGGAATCATATATCAGATTGACCGTTGTTTCCGGTGAAAAGTTAGCATCAGGCACTGGGGTCCCCATATTCGGTAACTGGGGGCTTAAGCAGTTATGATCCGATTTTGACATTTTATAGACTTGAGATGGTATTTCTCAAAGGCACTATTTGCGCAAAGTATTATCCCAGTATATTCATTGGTTCTTGATTTGTATACTGGAAATGGAAAGAGTCAGATGAAATATAAAATTGTGTTATATGGGAAGTAGGCGTGGATGTAGTCCGATTTCGCCCATTTTTACACCTAACCATTGAAGCTTACAAATTATGCTATGTACCGAATGGTTGAAATTGGTCGAGCAGCTTCGGAGATATGTGATTTCCCCTAAAGGTGGGCGGTGCCACGCTTATCATTCAATTTTGGCATCGGATCCTATACCATCCCGGATATAAAATTTAATATCTCTGACGAATTTAGTTATTTATCGCACTTTTAGCAGTTTTCAATAAAGTCGTTATATGGGAATTAGGGGGGGTTATCATCCGATTTCTCGTATTTTCACACTGTTATAAGAGGGGTCGAAAATATTTACCCTGTGCAAATTTGGATCACATGGCTCGAATGGTTGGGAGATATACACAGTAAACCTATTAGGGGGCGGAACCCCGCCAACTTTTTAAAGATTTTTAAACAACAAGTGCCCCTCTTTAATGTGATTCGTTGTACCAAATTACAGTTTTGTATTTTAATTTGCTGCTTAGTTATTTCAATTTTTAGGTTTTCCAATAACGGCGTTTTGTGGGCGTGGCAGTGGGGCTGAATATGCCCATATACAATATCAAACTTCTTATGGAACACATGTACTAAGTTTGAACAAGATATCTTAATTTTACTTAAGTTACAGGACGGACACACAGACAGTCACCCGGATTTCAACTCATCTCGTCATCCTGATCATTAATGTACAAGTATATATATATAACCCTATACCTATCTCGATTAGCTTTAGGTTATACATACAATCGTTAGGTGAACCAAACTATTATACTCTGAAGTAACATGCTGCAAGAGTATAAAAATGTTAAATTCTACTGATGATCGGAAATGAATTCGTCCCATCTTCTTGAACTGCATCAGAAATACATATGTATATCATAAATATATAAGAGAAGTAAGTGCTATATATTGTTATAGTATAGAGGAGATGAGAAATACAAAATAAGTTTTAGCGAGTTGTAAAAGAAAGAAGGAAAGTGTCGAATGTGTGTTATGTATAGTTTATGTATTCTTTATCAATAGAGAAAGTTAATATAAAGTTAGCTGCCAAATCGATGAAGCCGTATCGTTGTTGAAGAACATTAACAAGTAGCTTCGAAGAAAGTCACAAGAGTATGCCTTTTACAATGCCAATGATTTGAAGTTAACTTCAGAATCATAAAATGTATTATTAATTCTGCGTAACATCAACATGAGGATTCTCGAACAAATTAAAAATAAAATACAGGTTGGTTGAAAAGTTGGTTAGTCTCACAAAGAAATAGCACTAATAGCTCCAATTTTTTTTCTCAAGTTCGTATATCTGTCGTGAGAGCACATGCAAAGTTACAAGTCATTCTGTCAATTTATTATTTGTTTACAGGCCTTTTGAAGTTCACGTGTCCGAGTATTTTTGTTTTTATTTAGAATTTAATATCGCGCAGTGATAAGATTCTTTGTTTTGAAAGGTTTAAAGCAAAGGAAATTTATGAATAAATTTAGAAGTATATAATGTGTCCTCACCTTGAAAACGCACCGTTGAATTTTAGGCTGGTGAATTAAAACGTGGTCGTACTAGGCTTGAAGACGATCCACGCGAAGGACGAACAAAAATCGCAACCACACCAGAAATCATTGAGCAAGTTCATAACATTGTAAGTGAAAATCCAAGTTTGACTAAGAGTGAAATTTCTAATGCCATAGGCATCTCAGACGAACAATACTTCATATTTTACATTGAGAATTACGTATGAAAAAGCTGTTTGGAAAGTTAGTGCCGCGATTGAAAACTAATTTCTCAGCATAATTTTGAGTGTTTTAAACAGAATAAAACCGATTTCTTGCGTCGTTTTATAACTATGGATGAGATTTGTATCTACCACCATGATCCTAAATTGAAACAAGAACGTTTACAGTGGA